GAGAGGCTGCGACTTAGAACAGATGGGTATGTAACCGTGGACTAAATGAAGCTTCCCGTTGCAATGAAACGCGCGGCGCAGTGTTTTCCGGGTCAGTATTGAACTGCTTGTGTGTCATCGGTGCTTGAAGGTGACTGACGATTATGCATTATACGAAAGCTTCGCTCGACGCTGCCAAGATCCTGCTCAGCTTCCTCGATTTCTCCTTCATACCCTTCAATCGAGAAGAAACTACCCCTCAATCGCTAGGGGCTTACATGTTGAACCGACGAAGGGCGTCTGGAACGCAAACGAAGGGCGTCTGGAACGCACACAGTGACAAGTGCCAACACGTTCTGTTAGCAATATTTGTTAAATATTGAGTGTCGACAAGGGCTAACAATAGGACATGCTTTGGGAGCATGAGCTACTCGCGAGGCTTCTTGGCTCTGAACAAAATATGAAGCTGCATTTGTTACACGTCAAGAAAACTAAATTTTGATATGTTAGCCAAACATAAGGCAGCGCGTGTACCCACTACAACAGCCATCACACCGAGGAGTGGTGATGGGCACCATCGGCAGATCTGTATGTTCTCGGAAACCGGAAAATTCGTTTTTGTTATCGGTCTCACCTCGATGTGAACCGTAGAAAGATATGGCTAAAAACTGAAAAGAGAAGAGGAGACGAGAACTCGGCAATAGTTGTTGTTGGGCTTGTTGGATTATGGTGCTTAGTAAACTTGTGTGAGCAAACACAAAGGACGAACACGAAGGAGAGGACAAGGAGAATCACTTGTCCTTGTTTACTCCTTCGTGTTCATCCTGTTTGTTTGCGCATACAAGTTTAGTGAGTTCGTAAACTTGTATGCGCGTGCCCGTACCGTACATCGTATCGTAAACTTGCATGAAAGCGCACGGCTTTGATCAAAGCTCAAAATGAAAGATGTCACGCGTGCCCGTACCTTTGACTGCATTGCCAATAAAAATTGTCCCCGGGGCCCGGGTTTAACTTCCCTCGTCTCTACTCACTCTTCGAACGAAGAGTCTGCTTTTCGCACAACACTCGGGGAGCGAATCACCGCAACTTAGGGAGGCAGCTCAGCAAATGAAATTGCCGAAACATATGTTTAGACCAGAAAACACGGTCTGAGTTGTGACATTAAGCAATGCAAGCGTGACGTTTTGCATTGCTAAATGTCACAACTCAGACTGCGTTTCTTGGTCTAAACATATGTTTCGGCATTATCATTCGCTGAGCCGCCTCCGTAAGTTGCGGTAATTGGCTCTCCAAGATGTTGTGCGTAAAAGTAGACGCACAAACTTTTTTTAAGTGTAGAGTACAGCGTGTGTGTGTGTAAGAGGGGGGAGGGGGGGGGGGGGGGCACTCCGGGTGCACCCTCCCGCGACCCGGGAAAAGAGAGACGTACGAAGCCGTGCTTCGACACAAAAGAGCTGTTCCATACTGTATTGCCCAGCGCCTGCTATCACTTCCGTACAAGCCAACGAGCGGGTCATAATCTTTTCTGCATGTTTCAAAAGCAGAAGGGACGTATTCCAGGAACTATTAGCCAAACCCGCGGGACTAATTAGCACATGCGCGTTTGTATGGCGTATAGGCGAGTTGGAGGTGGGAGGGGCGGAGTTGAAGAAGCTTCTTCGGAGATAGGCGATGACCCAGCCATAACACCGACACCTCGAAGTGCCCTCATTTCACTCTTTTTTTCTTGGAGGATGAAACGCGAAGGGTGGAGCGAGAATGGATCAAATGCAGCGGGCCCAAGCGAGAACGACCTTTTGAGAATGATCTTTTTGAGAAAATCCAAACGAGAAGGCCGAAACGAGAACGGGCCCAAATAAAAACCACCCACAGCTTTAGATCGTAGAGCCACGTGATACCATGACGTCACGTCACCACGTTATGTGACTTGAATTCATGTGACAGATTTTTTTTTAGGGCGCAACTCTTAGGCGCCCGTTTCCGGCTTGAGCGGCGTCGGCGTCGCCGTCGGCGTAACCGCGTCCCCCCCCCCCCCCCACCCCCCCCCCCCCCCTCCCGAGGACCTCGGGAGGACCTCGGGTTCTTTCGGGAGGGCCTCGGGAACCTTCGGTGACCTCAAGGTCACGTCACCCCCTTCCAGGTCACGTAACCCCCCCCCCCCCCCTAGGTCACGTGACCCCCTCCCCGAGGTCACGTGACCCCCTTCCCGAGTACCTCGGGAGGCCCTCGGATTCCTTCGGGAGGACCTCGGGTTACTTCGGGAAGACCTCGGGAGAAGCTCGGGGGGGGGGGGGAGGGGGGGGTCACGCGACCCCTTTATCCGAGGTCACATGACCCCCCCCCCCCCTCAGTACCCTTCCCTCCTCCTCCTCAAGAGCTGCGCTCTAATTTCAACCTTCATTGCATTCAACGAACTGTCTAAGCCAGGCCTTTTCTTTTTCGGCAGGAACAAGTAGGAATGAGCACCAGCATAGTGCGGCGACGCCATATGCAAGCCATGTGTAGACTATGCGGGCGTAAACTGGGGGAGAGGAAAAAACGAGAGCGCGCGGGGACGTCATAACGCTGAGCCCTGACTGGAAGGATTAGAGGGTACAGGCAAAGCTAGATGCCTTTGCCTTCACTGCACTTGTCGAACGCGTTCGTACGCGACCGCCGAACGCCGGCGTTCCGCGTTCTAAAGGCCCGTTCACACACATGCGTCCGTAGCGACCGTAACGACCGGAACAACCGAAACGACGGTTGCAGGGGTCTGCAACCGTCAGTTGCCATAGCGACGGAGGGGCGCGCGCACGTGTCGTTCACGACGCAAGGAGTTGGAGCGAGCCCAACTTTCCCCGCTGCGTTCGAAACAACCGAAACGACCGCAACGACAGACCAATCACACGTCGAAGAGAATGGGTCGTGCGCGTTGCATGCGGTCGCGGGCCGGCTCCTTCTATTTACAAACATGGCGTCGGTGATGATCGTCGACGTGGACGGCGTGGTGAAAGCTCATCGTTCCACGTAAAAGCGCTATCCTTGACTGTGAATTTTCGTCGTGTGTCGCTAGATAACCCAGCACGTACTAGAAAGGAAGATCCACCTACTCGTGCGGCGATGTCCTGGCGGCACTCTCAAGACAGCAAAAACGCCCGTGCCGTCGTGTTTGTTTACTTCGACTACAGTGGTGCTTTCTAAGCATTTGAGTCCTCGAACATCGCTCGGATTTTTTATTTGGCGCATTTCATGCGTGTGCTCAAGTTCAAGGTATTACTGGCACGTACCGTATAAAGGATGCGAATTTTCACGCGTTTTCATCACCGGAGAAAAGTGATTAGTGTTAGCAATCCTGAACGCTCGAACGTCTATCTGATTACCAAATCATATTTCTACGTTTGCTATATCGCTGATAAGATTACATCGTCTTTTATAATCGTAGAAAAGGCGTGTGGCGACATTCGTACTATCGGCTAAGTTGTGTGTTAGAGCCGTGATCGTCCAAGACGGCGTACTCCATCTTTTAGAGCGCAGCTCTTAGGGGCCCGTTCTCGGCTTGAGCGGCGTCGCCGTTGGCGTCGCCGTCGGCGTCGGCGTAACCAAGGTCATCCCAAGGTCACGTGACCCCTCCCCCAGGGTCACGTGACCCCCAAGGTCACGTGACACCCAAAGTCACGTGACCCCTCTGAAGTCACGTGACCCCCCCCCCGAGGTCACGTGACCCCCGCCGAGGTCACGTGACCTCCCCGATGACGTCATCGTCACTGATGACGTCACCGGCATCCGCATCGTCATCGTCATCATCACTGATGACGTCATCGGTGACGTCACTGATGACGTCATCAGTGATGATGACGATGACGATGCGGATGCCGGTGAGGTCATTAGTGACGTCACTGATGACGTCATCAGCGATGATGACGATGCGGATGCCGGTGACGTCATCAGTGACGTCACTGATGACGTCATCGGTGATGATGACGATGCGGATGTCGGTGACGTCATCAGTGACGTCACTGATGACGTCATCAGTGATAATGACGATGCGGATGCCGGTGACGTCATCAGTGACGATGACGTCATCGGGGAGGTCACGTGACCTCGGCGGGGGGTCGCGTGACCTCGGCGGGGGTCACGTGACCCTGGGGGTGGTCACGTGACCTGGGGGTGTCACGTGACTTCGGGGGGCATCCGCATCGTCATCATCACAGATGACGTCATCAGTGACGTCACTGATGACGTCACCGACATCCGCATCGTCATCGTCATCATCGCTGATGACGTCATCGGAGTCCGCATCGTCATCGTCACTGATGACGTCATCAGTGACGTCATTGATGACATCATCGGCATCGTCACGTGACCCCCCAAGGTCACGTGACCCCCCCCAGGTCACTTCACCCCCCCAGTACCCTTCCCTCCTCCTCCTCAAGAGCTGCACTCTAATTCGGTGTTACAGGGAGCTGTAAACGGCTTTCACTTTTTTTTCTTTTCTTTTTTTCAATCACTGTATCCTGCAAGCCTATCATGAAAAAAAAAGATTAATAAAGCTTTAGGCTATAGAAAACTGTCTGTCTGTATATTCTGTTACGGCATTATGTGGCAATGCGTCCCCTTTCTGGAGGCACCGCTGAGACAGCTGACGGCGGCGTAGAAGCGGTCGCCGTGCTGCCGATCCGCTGCGCTTGTTGCAGCGGTTGCATGTGTGTGTACACGCGGCGCAGAGCGGTCGTTCCGGTCGCTGCGGTTGCAACGGACGCATCGCGCTCGTTGCACATGTCTGAACCAGCCTTAACGCGTTCGATGAGTGCAGTGAAGACCGAGGCAGCTAGGGGGGGCTTTACGTCTACCCTCTAATCATTCCAATCAGAGCTCAGCGTTCTGACGTCCTCGTGCACTTTCATTTTCTCCTCTTCTTAACTTTCTGCCCGCATAGAGTCAGGCGTCCTGCGACGCCTCGGACCCTAACTGGGTTTGCTGGTCTTGTTAACTACCGAGACATCGTATCTTGCTCCAGCGGCCTCCTTGTTGTTCTGGCGCAGGTGGTGCTGATGGCGCACGCCGTGCGTCGCATCTGCTGGTGCACGTGTAGCCCCGGCCAGCACCAGTTCGCCTTCCTCGCCCGGGAGCCCAAACTACGAGCGGGCCTGCAGCACTGCCACGTCTTCCGAGCTCGCAGCCCCAAGCAGGTAGGCGCGCCATTTCGAGACATGTATGCCTTCGGCCCGTCGTGGGCGGCGACGGGACCGTCCCTCCTGCTGCTGGCTTCTGTTGGGATCTTTACCTGACATGGCCTTTTCTATTTCTTTTGGAATATTGGCGGTTGCCCGCCGGGAGACAGCCGAGGAAATACGTGTAGAAGGTACATTTTATATGTGAAGGGATGCAACGATCTTTAGGGCTCGATTAAGTCTTCGCCGGTATGCCGGGAATACGGCAGTGAGGGATATATTTGGTGAATATTATATCACACTGCGATGCGATAAAGAGGAGGTGTGATTGAAGAAGACCGTACAAAACTATGAGAAGGGCGGGGAGAGAAGTGTATGAAAAGCTGTGTATGTAGATGCAGTATGAAGGAGTGCATGATTAAATGTAGGAAGGAGGGTCTGGGGGAGTGTATGGAGCAGCGTGTGAAGCGTTAAGTGAAGGATGGTGTTAGTAAGAAGAGAGAGGGTAAAATGTGAAAGGGAGAGATTTATGATTTGTAATGAATAAGACAGGTTTAACCACTTGCGTTCCGATTCCTGTTCCACCGTACGACTATGTGGGCATTTCATTTCATTTCATTTTCATTTATTATTCCCTCAGGGCCCGAAGGCATTACAAAGGGGAGTGGGCGGTCGACAGATAAAAATAACATAGTTGAACGAGGCAAAAATACAAAAAAACACACACACACACACACAGCAAAAACACGCGCTGCGCATCATCTGTTAAAAAGTTGGTAATAGCATTTTTAAAATAAACAGTGTTAGTTATTGAGACTATATGTGCGGGAAGGCGATTCCAATCAATGGAGGTTTGGGGTAGAAAAGAAGCATTAAAAGTGGATGTGCTACAATGGGGGATCCCTACCTTTAGGTCTTGGTCTACACGTGATGATATGTACGATGGTTCTAAAAACAATGCTTGACGGAGAGCGGAGTTATAGTAATAAATCTTGTGAAATAAACATAGACGAGATATTTTTCTTCGGAGAGAGAGATCAGGTAAGGAGAGGGACGATTTCATGGAAGTTACACTGGCTGTACGATGATAGTTCGAGAGTATGAAACGGGCAGAACGATTCTGAATAGATTCGACAGCTGATGCAAGGGTGATACCGAGGCTCCAGATAGAAGCTGCATATTCCAGTTTAGGACGAACTAGGGTTTTATAGAGGAGAAGTTTTAAGGAAAGAGGAGCAAGCGAAAAGTTACGTTTGAGATAGCCCAAAAGCCTATTTGCGTTGTTAGTGACATATTGGACGTGGATATTCCAGGAGAGGTCGTTGGTTATGTGAATGCCGAGATATTTATAGGAGGACACAGAAACTAAAGTAGAATTGTTAATAGAGTAGGAAGGACAAGTGTTGTTATGACGAGATACTCTCATAGATGTACATTTAGTGATGTTAAGCTCCATGAGCGATTCCTTGCACCATTTGCAGATGTTGTTAATATCAACCTGAAGGGCGGAAATGTCAGAGTCGTTAACTATCTCTTTATAAATTACACAATCGTCAGCGAATAAACTAATAGAGGAAGAAACATGCACAGGAAGGTCATTGATATAAATAAGAAATAAGAGTGGTCCGAGTACGGAGCCCTGAGGGACACCGGAGTTAACAGGTGAGGGCGAAGAATTAGTGTCATTAGTTCGAACAAATTGGAAGCGATTCGTTAGGAATGATTTTATCCATGTGAGGACATTGGGATCTATATTAAGGTTACCAAGGTTATGAAGAAGTAGCTGGTGAGAAACCTTGTCAAAAGCTTTTGAGAAATCCAGGAATATGCAGTCAGTCGTAGAACCCCGGTCTAGAGTGAGGTGAAGATGATGAGTTAATGTTAGCAGTTGGGTATCACAGGAATAAAACTTTCGAAAACCATGTTGAGCTGTGTTGAAAAAAGAGTTGGAGTCAAGAAAATTAACAAGATGTGAATATATTACGTGTTCAAGAATTTTGCAAGGGATGCTCGTTAGAGAGATCGGGCGGAAATTAATAGGATTATGTTTATCGCCGCCTTTATGAATTGGAATCACCTTCCCCACCTTCCAGTCACTGGGTAATATTCCTTGTTCGAGAAACTGGGAAAAAAGATAAGATAGAATAATGCTTGAATACGTTTTAGTGTTCTTTAGAAACTTAACAGTTACATTGTCGATGCCGGCTGCCGAAGAGATTTTAAGATTTTCAATTATGTTAGCAATCCCTTCAGATTCTATAATGACAGGATACATTGGCAAAAAGTTACAAACTGGAGCTGCGGTAAAGTTGGAGGTAACAGGGCACGAAAACGCTTTGACAAAAACATAATTTAAAACAAAAGAACACTGATCATTTGGTACATCTACTCCGTCAGCCATTCTAAGCGCAACATCGGAGCTTTCAGTGGGGTTAACAACTTTCCAAAATTGACGGGGGTTGTTTATTAGCATAGATGGTAACAGAATATTAAAAAATGAGCTTTTAGCCTCTACAGCAGCATTTTTGTACACGCCCGCAGCTAGATGGTACGCTGCCCAATGCTGTACGTCATCCTTCAGCTTGGCAGCACGAAACAAACGCTTCTTTTTATTTGAGAGCCTTTTCAGAGTCACGGTATACCATGGCGATTCAGGTGACGACGTTATGTTGCGAAGAGGTACATGTGCCTTCATCAGTGATACCACCTTATCTTTGAATAAATGCCAGTTGTCTGCGACTGAGCGCTCGGCAAAACAGTGCATATACCGATCTAAAAAGAGACTCATTTCATTGTTAATCACATCAAAGTCCGCTCTGGCATAATCGTGTATTTGCTTTATTTGTTTTGATTTGCGGGAACTGGGAATGTTTAATATAAAATGCAACAAGGAATGATCACTAATACCAGGCATGTAAGTCAATGAAGTAATAAGCTCGGGCGATGTTGTTAATATAAGGTCTAAAACAGAGGCAGTTGTAGTTGTAATACGCGTCGGTTTCGTAACAATTTGTGAAAAGCTAAAGTCCAAACACAAGTTCAAAAACTCACTACTCTCTGAAGAAAAGGGACTGAGGCTAGCACCCATATCTGACCATACTATGGCGGGGTAGTTAAAATCACCCAGCAGCATTATTGGCGTATTGGGAAAACGGATCATGACTCCGTTAATGGCGTCGTGTAGGCTTGTAACAAAAGTGGCACTTTTTGAAGGAGGACGATAACAAACGCCTAAAATATATTTTTTTTTTTTGTTTTTAACTGAAGACAAACCCATAGAAGCTCCAGTTCAGAAACAATACTGATTTGAAATGATAATACGTTTTCCGCCACCGCGACCAATACGCCACCGCCATTTTTTTTCGCCTCTGTCATGACGGTAAAAATTTAAACGTTTATGACAGTTTAATATTTCATCGTTACGTATTTTGCTTGACAACCAGGTCTCGGTGAGAACAACAACATCCGCGTCTGATGAGTCCACAATGGACGACAAGTCATCGCGGTTACGCATAACGCTTCTAATGTTAGTAAATAAAACAGAAATATTTACAAGGGGTGACTCACTAATGTCATCCGAACGCTATGACAAAGCAGGTGCTAGGTTAGAACTGCCGGTTTTTCTGAGCACCATGACGGGGTCATGAAGTCCGGAAGGAGTCCCGTCTGGCTCCAAGTTCCGCTCAGGTGGGTTTAGTTCGCGAACGGAGTCTGTGCCAGGCGCGTAGATGTAACATTTGTTGTCAACGAGTAGTTTGTCGAAACGCAATTTGATGGGCTTCCCATGCGACCTGGCGAACTCTATCAGTTTCCGCCTAGCAAGGCGGACAGACGGTATATAATCCTGACTAACGGAAATAGGGGTGCCCTTAAGCTTGAAAGCGTTTGAGGGGCACACCACTTTTGGCCGCAGAGAATTGTCTAGACACTACAGCGGCCTTCGGTCTACTACGCTTAGTGTGTCTGAGATTCGATTACTTCACTTCATTGGTATATAACGCGACTACATAAAATCGTTAAAAGAGAGTTCTATCTATGCTAATAGGAAAATTAAAAAAAAAATGATTTCCTAAGAAAAAATGAAAAACAATAAGATTTATTTGGTTTAAATCATTTAGTTAGAAAAGAGTAACTCTTTATCACGTAATGTGTTTTTCAACACGGCACAATAATTAGCGAATCTCTCCGATCACACAAAAAAAGAATGCGAATGAAAGAATTACTCTAAATTTAAAGTTCAGCCTAAATAACAACTTTTTATTGATGTAAAAGCCCGCCATACTAAAACAAAAACTGCTTGATTTGTTTTTTACTTTGTGAAAAAGCTTTGTTTTTTTCTTCCGTTCTTATTTGCCTACAATATGATGTTGCGTAACTGACGAACCAAGTGGAAAGCATAAAGAAAGCCCAGCGCTCCGATTTCCTCAGAAGAACTCTTCTTTTTGCTGGTGTTCAGCCAAATATAAATCTCTCTGACTCGATTATACTTTGATTTAGATATAAGAACGATTGTTCATAAAAACAACAAATATGAGACAAACGGTAAATAACACATATTTTCGGGAATATTTTTGCGGGAAAGGTTTGATTTGAATCAAAATACTAAAACCGGTCTCATTTGAAGGAGTCATGAAACTATATTGGGTTGGAATGTTCATTACTTTGCAGAGGCGTACTGGTCTGGCCCAAGTATACTCGCACAGACCGCCACTGATTCAGAAGCTTCTTTGTCGTGCCGAAATTGCGAGGATAAAAGCGGGCTATTTCTTTCCGTTTTGCCTTCGCAAAACTTGATTACGTAATTGTGGGATCGAAACCACCCGCCCGACACTTGAAGCGCGGCTCATGGATTGGACACGAGAACTGCGTGAGCACTCGACTTCGGCTCGTAGCAATTAATAGAGAGTTTTAGAATAGGATGCCCCACAGGTTTGGGTGCCCCAAAACAACTTAGAGCGTCCAACTGCGCATGCGCAGTTCGACGCCCCAAGCTGTTTGGGGCACCCAAAGCTGTGGGG